AATGAAATTATTCTGTGAGACATAAATATATGAATCTCTGAGTTTATTCTCCTTGTTAAACTTTGCCTTATCTATTTATTGCGCCTTATGAAACTTCAACTTGATTTATTCATTACTTATTTTTTTAAGTATTTATTTTTGTGCATGGTGTAATATTTTTGCCTGTTTTATTCTTCCTCTAAGACACACCTCTTCTGATTTGCATAATGAGGCAGAAATGCATACAGAAATGTAAAACACCAGGCAAAAATAAATAAATAGTGATATAAAAAGGGTGGAAAAAATACAAAGAAATAATAATCTAGACAAAAATATTATCACATGCAAATAAATAAATACTTAAAGAAATAAGTGATAAATAAATAAAGTTGAAGATTATAATGGACAATAGATAAATAAGGTAATTATAAAAAAGGCGAATAAATAAATAAGCAACATAAAAGAGATATATACATTTATGTCTCACTGTAAAGTTTAATTTCTTCCTACATGTATTAGTTTATTGTATTTTGGGGGCAATTAATTGTATATTCTTTATTATTTATTGAGCATTTATTTATTTCTGTATTTATTTCTAAATATGGCAGAGTTGGTCCTCCATAATGCTTTTACTTTAATGGTAAAAATAATTGTATGCACTGACCATTCTTTGGTGGTACATTACTCTGTCATGTTCAGGAAATATCTGAGACTTCAAAACAAAATGTGAAACAGAATTATGCCAGGAATTAAATGCTATATTTTTAAATCATAGTGTAAAGTAAGTGTAAATCCCTTTTATTGTCCCACAATGGGGAAATTCCCTCTCTCTATTTAATCTATCCTCTAGGGGAGCAGTGGGCTGACATTGTGTGGCGCCCGGGGAGCAGTGTGGGGTCCAGGAATCCAGGGTGGAGGCTTTCAGGATCGAACTGGCGTGCTTGCAACCTTCTAAGAGCACAATACACTGCTCCAACCCACTAGGCCAATACTCCACATTATTCAATCTAAAGCAAACATTTAATTGTAAACATAAGACATTTAACAAGTAGGGAAGAGGATGGCGTGTCGGCACAGTGCTGTGGTCTCTGCATTTACTCCTTATGGGAGTGAGTAGAAAAAGATTTCTTCAGTCAGGCTTCAGTAACCACTGATTCTGGGCTGCTGGGATGCAAATTATGTTTGGGCACAAGTCTGTGGATCCACAACTCACTTAATTATATCTAAAATGATAAAGTATTGCTCTCTTTTTTTCTTTTAGTTTAAAAAAAAATACTTTTCCCCCATGAAAACCTGTTGAATTCACTCTGAGCAAATCTGGTCTAGAAACACCATAGTAGATATTTGCAGGTCCTGCATCCAATGCTTCGAAGTCTCTTCCCAAAGGGCTGCAGATAGAACAATCCATGGTGGGGGTGTGAGGGGTCATTTATGATGTTACGGGCTCGGGACACGCAGCACTGGGGTGAAATGTCTTTTATGGAGGGAAGAGAAGCCCCAATGATCCTCTCTGCTGTTCTCAACACTCTCCTCACTGTCATCCAGTCTGAGGCTGCAGCCTCCACACCACACAGTGAGACAGCTGGTGACAACGCTCTCTGGTGGGATATGTAATTCACTTTTGACTAGGCAAAATATAACATATTTTGAATAGGAGTTTTGACTTTTGACAAAATTATGTTGCAGATATCAGTAATGAATATTCAGTCTGGTTATGTCTTAAAACAGCTTGTCATACATGTGAGCACAGCGGTAAACTTAATCGCACTTCCTAATAAAACAGGAGAAGCTTCTGCTTGCTGGTTCCTGGGAGTTATATGAAATATGGAACACGAAATGAGGAAATCAGCATCAGCAGATCTGCTATAAGTTGGGCCAGTAACGCCATGTGCTCTTAGAGCTGATAGATGGCTCTAGAACCAGTCCTGTCCATATTCCCAAAATACTATTTTAGTTTCTTATGTACACTTGGCACAGAAACCATAACCAGAGATGGCAAAAGTACTCACTTTCCGTACTTGAGTAAAAGTACAGATACTTGTGTTAAAAAATACTCTGATAAAAGTGGAAGTACTGATTAAACTTCTTTACTCAAGTAAAAGTAACAAAGTACAGGCTTGTAAATTTACTTAAAGTATAAAAGTAAAAGTAGAAACCACTTTTTTCATGCGGTTGCCTACATTTTAAATGGATGTCTGCCAATAGGACTAGATCTCTGTTGTGTTCATTTTCAATCATCGCGTCGTCCATGATACTATGCTAACGCCACCGCCACCAAGCTGCAATGATTTGCCGCGAATGAATACCGCCGAATCTTTCGATTCATCTTGTAGTGGTGCGTCAAATGCAACGTAGATTCCCATCCAATTAGATTGAATTTGGTATTGATGACGTGAAAAATAATAATGGTAACTCCATTGAAATGATTCAAAACTAAAGTAACGAGCCAATTTTTAAAAATGTAAGGAGTAGAAAGTACAGATATTTGTGTAAAAATGTAAGGAGTAGAAGTAAAAAGTCGCCATAAAAATAAGTAGTAAAGTAAAGTAAAAATATCAGAAAAATCTACTTGAGTACAGTAACGAAGTATTTGTACTTCGTTACTTCCCATCTCTGACCATAACCAATTAGCCTATTTGATCTAGTTCAATTTCATGGTTTTATTTAAACATTAAAAAATGAATGTGTTGCACTTTTATCTTCAGTCGTATTGGGATTGGATCACTGTTTTCATCTGCTAAACAAGGAGGACATTTTTGGTACCCATCAATTAAAGAAAAAAGTCACACACAAAAAACATGAATCTGAGAAGTGATACAAAATTCTGAACTGAAAACAATGAAAGCCAGGACATTGGTTTTAGTATTTTTTATTTTTTGCTTTTAGTGTTGCACCAATACCAGTATCGGGCAGGGCTCCGATCCAGCACTAAAATGGTGGTATTGGTGAGTACCAACAAATAGGGCACCGATATCATTTTGAGAGCCAAATGTTTATTCTACCAGTCACCCATTCCAGGTAGAGAATTAAAACTTCTACTGGATTCACTTCCTATGAGTCTTTTTCCTGATTCACAAAGCTAGGCAGCAGCTTGACAAAACCATGATGGCAATTATTTTACATCCAAGTATTATGCAGTTCTTCATATATATGGACACACATCAGTTTCAAACAGATGGTATCGGCCAATACTGCACAGCCAGGTATCGGGGCCTAAATATAGCATCGCGCTAATTGCTTTTTAATGGAACGATTTAAAAAAAATTTAACTTGAACAGGCCTGGACAGAAATGACAGTACCCTTAACTTAATATTTTGTTGTACAACCTTTGGAGGCAATCAAACCATTTCTGTAACCGTCAACTGTCTCAGGTTTGAAGAAGGCATTTTCCAGCAGTACATTTCAGCTCCTTCCAAAGAATCTCATTAGAATTTCTGTCTGATCCTCTGAACTTCATCCTTAATCAGACATTGATATTTTCCCCTCTTAGCAGTTACTTCAGATTACTGGTGGTCCAAAGTTCATGATTGGGGAAACTTCTGACCAGCGTTGGAATATAGACCAAATCCCAAACCTCCCCTAAGCACTAACCCTATACTATCAAGTGTCACTCCCAATGAAGCCACACTTGCAGCTGTGGAGGGCGCCTTTAAGGTGTGGTGTACAGACAAGAATGTGATAGCCTCTTCCCTCCATCGGAAAAGCAAAGCAGTCGTTTCTATGGCAACACATTAACGTGCCGTGTGTGGCTGTAGCTTAGCATGAAAAACATTTAAACCCTTAAAACAAATTTATACAGTCAAATATATACATGACGCTTTGTCATACCCCACTTGAGGTTTTCTGTTATTCTACATTCAGAATGCATGTTCTAGAGGCAGCAGAAGCAGCTGGTTTACATGCAAAAGTCAATGGTTGACAAGCATCAAAAGGTCCTGCAGCGTGTTTTGAGAAGCAGGAGCAGCGCCTCAAGAGTTGACGTGCTGCTCAAGCATCTGGAAAAACTGAACTTCTGCTGCTAAATGCATCACAGAGACACCGATGTGGGAGTTGGCATGGAGACAGCACTGCCGATGCAGATTGCTATGATCACTCCTCTAAAACAGTTTAATGCCAATAATCTGAAAAGGTCAACCTGCCGGAAAAATATGTTCGCTTTTATTATTCTATTGCTTATAGTTTGGATTGCATACATGAAAAACGCCTTTCTGTCGCCACGAACATTAGTGGAAAACTCAGAATAGGTGATCGGGTCAGAGGCTCCCGTTCAAGGGGATTTCCAGTGACAAAGCAGACTGTACGGAGGTCTGAGCGGCTCTGACAGCGAAACAATCTTTGAAGCAGGATTGTAAATCTGGATGGACTGCACAGGTTAAGTTTTCAGGTGGCCTTTCACACTTTGCTTTTTAAATACTTAAACCAGCAAATATAGCAAAGCTGCTCTATGCCATTGAACACAGGAGCAGCAGAATATACACTTTACTGGACACTCTTGATCAAAGCTGCTCGTCACACATCTGACCTTAACATGATAAAAAAACGGTTTTGCCGCTTCCAGCGCTTGCGGTGTAACTAAGATGCAAACCAGCAAAACTTGCATTTGGATGCAAGAGTTTCCTCAGCGTTAGGCTGCCGTTACACCCACTGACAAATTTCAGCAAGCTAGCACCGATACAGACCCTTTTAGGGCTCAACGGTCCACACTCTGGGACAGTCTTTAATATGGCAGACCCTCATGGGAACGCACAAAGGATTAGTGCTTAGGAATTCAGGCAGCGTTTTCTACACAGATGTTTGTGGTTATACCCCAGGGAAATCACCCACTTTTAGAAAATCTATAGAATAAATCCTATTCATTTCTGAGCCCAAATTTCTGCAATTGGACCTCAAGGGCAATTATACCAATGGCAAACTGTATATATATATAAAAAACAGTTTCTAGGAACAAATTGATAGTTCACAGCACATTTTATTTTTCACCTTTCAACAGCACATCCAAGTTTTTAGGTGTCGACAAAATTCATGAGTGCCGCCTGTTGGACGGACTCGTCCTGCTGAAAGTAGCAGGTTTTTGGGGCAGTTTGATATGGTCAACATGCTTCCTGCCCAAGATGAATTTCTGTTGGGGATTCATGGGCTGCTGCAACAGTTTGGGGGCGCCCGGCTGAGGCTGCTGGGGCGGGTAGACGAACGGCTGCTTGGGGGCGCCCGGCTGAGGCTGCTGGGGCGGGTAGACGAACGGCTGCTTGGGGGCGCCCGGCTGAGGCTGCTGGGGCGGGTAGACGAACGGCTGCTGGGGGGCGCCCGGCTGAGGCTGCTGCGGCGGGTAGACGAACGGCTGCTGGGGGGCGCCCGGCTGAGGCTGCTGCGGCGGGTAGACGAACGGCTGCTGGGGGGCGCCCGGCTGAGGCTGCTGCGGCGGGTAGACGAACGGCTGCTGGGGGGCGCCCGGCTGAGGCTGCTGGGGCGGGTAGACGAACGGCTGCTGGGGGGCGCCCGGCTGAGGCTGCTGGGGAGGGTAGACAAACGGCTGCTTGGGGGCGCCCGGCTGAGGCTGCTGCGGCGGGTAGACAAACGGCTGCTTGGGGGCGCCCGGCTGAGGCTGCTGGGGCGGGTAGACAAACGGCTGCTTGGGGGCGCCCGGCTGAGGCTGCTGGGGCGGGTAGACAAACGGCTGCTTGGGGGCGCCCGGCTGAGGCTGCTGGGGCGGGTAGACAAACGGCTGCTTGGGGGCGCCCGGCTGAGGCTGCTGGGGCGGGTAGACAAACGGCTGCTTAGGGGGCGCCCGGCTGAGGCTGCTGGGGCGGGTAGACAAACGGCTGCTTGGGGGCGCCCGGCTGAGGCTGCTGGGGCGGGTAGACAAACGGCTGCTTGGGGGCGCCCGGCTGAGGCTGCTGGGGCGGGTAGACAAACGGCTGCTTGGGGGCGCCCGGCTGAGGCGGGTAGACAAACGGCTGCTTGGGGGCGCCCGGCTGAGGCTGCTGGGGCGGGTAGACAAACGGCTGCTTGGGGGCGCCCGGCTGAGGCTGCTGGGGCGGGTAGACAAACGGCTGCTTGGGGGCGCCCGGCTGAGGCTGCTGGGGCGGGTAGACAAACGGCTGCTTGGGGGCGCCCGGCTGAGGCTGCTGGGGCGGGTAGACAAACGGCTGCTTGGGGGCGCCCGGCTGAGGCGGGTAGACAAACGGCTGCTTGGGGGCGCCCGGCTGTGGCGGGTAGACAAACGGCTGCTTGGGGGCGCCCGGCTGAGGAGGGTAGACAAACGGCTGCTTGGGGGCGCCCGGCTGAGGCTGCTGGGGCGGGTAGACAAACGGCTGCTTGGGGGCGCCCGGCTGAGGCTGCTGGGGCGGGTAGACAAACGGCTGCTTGGGGGCGCCCGGCTGAGGCTGCTGGGGCGGGTAGACAAACGGCTGCTTGGGGGCGCCCGGCTGAGGCTGCTGGGGCGGGTAGACAAACGGCTGCTTGGGGGCGCCCGGCTGAGGCGGGTAGACAAACGGCTGCTTGGGGGCGCCCGGCTGAGGCGGGTAGACAAACGGCTGCTTGGGGGCGCCCGGCTGAGGCGGGTAGACAAACGGCTGCTTGGGGGCGCCCGGCTGAGGCGGGTAGACAAACGGCTGCTTGGGGGCGCCCGGCTGAGGCGGGTAGACAAACGGCTGCTTGGGGGCGCCCGGCTGAGGCGGGTAGACAAACGGCTGCTTGGGGGCGCCCGGCTGAGGCTGCTGGGGAGGGTAGCCGAACTGCTGCTGCTTGGGGGCGCCCGGCTGAGGCTGCTGGGGAGGGTAGCCGAACTGCTGCTGCTTGGGGGCGCCCGGCTGAGGCTGCTGGGGAGGGTAGCCGAACTGCTGCTGCTTGGGGGCGCCCGGCTGAGGCTGCTGGGGAGGGTAGCCGAACTGCTGCTGCTTGGGGGCGCCCGGCTGAGGCTGCTGGGGAGGGTAGCCGAACTGCTGCTGCTTGGGGGCGCCCGGCTGAGGCTGCTGGGGAGGGTAGCCGAACTGCTGCTGCTTGGGGGCGCCCGGCTGAGGCTGCTGGGGAGGGTAGCCGAACGGCTGCTTGGGGGCGCCCGGCTGAGGCTGCTGCTTGGGGGCGCCCGGCTGAGGCTGCTGGGGAGGGTAGACGAACTGCTGCTGGGGGGCGCCCGGCTGAGGCTGCTGGGGAGGGTAGACGAACTGCTGCTGGGGGGCGCCCGGCTGAGGCTGCTGGGGAGGGTAGACGAACTGCTGCTGGGGGGCGCCCGGCTGAGGCTGCTGGGGAGGGTAGACGAACTGCTGCTGGGGGGCGCCCGGCTGAGGCTGCTGGGGCGGGTAGACGAACGGCTGCTGGGGGGCGCCCGGCTGAGGCTGCTGGGGCGGGTAGACGAACGGCTGCTTGGGGGCGCCCGGCTGCTGGAAGACATGGAGTTGTTGCATATTGGTTGGGTAAGCCAGATATTTCACTGCAGCTGGGACCGGTTGTATGTTGGCATTACTGTTTTGCCAAGGCCTTTTTGGTCCCTGTAGCACATAGTTGCTAGACTGGGGCACAGAGGGGGCCTGGCGTGGATAACTGGGCCCCCTCTGAGGTGGGGTACCTTGATGCTGTAATGGATTTTGTTCCAGTCTAGGGCCCTGTGGTAGGTAGCCATAATACTGGTTAACAAAAGGCAGGTTTGGTGACAGTCCATCAGGTACAGGACCCCCAATTGGGAAGAACGGCTCAACAGGAAACCTTTTTTCCTTAAATACCGACTGATAGGCAGGGAAGCCTTCCCCATGTCCATGTTTAGCAAAGCTGGATCCACCTGTTCAGAACAGATTAGTTGCCACATAAGAATTTAAAGTTTGGCCGAGCATTTTTTGTGTTCATTTTACTGATGGTACTACAATACTCAAGTTCACCTTTTACTTGACATTGTCCAACAGCAAATATGAGGGACAGAAAGAGCCTAGAGGAAAAAAAGAAAGTTTCAGTAAACTCCAATAATAAAAATGAAACTTCTGAACTACCTCTACATAAACAAATTAATGAAAAGAAACTTACCAAAAGAAAATCTCCATGACTTGAGCCACATCAAGCAGCCAATTCAGTAGTTTTTAAAAAAATGAACATTTTACTTGTAGTTTTTAAGAGCACCCTGCCCCTAATTCCTAAGGTGCTGTCAAATGGACACAGCAGGTACGATTAACTCAAGACAGGTGTGGCTCATTACCAGGTGAATATTGTTCAACAATCAGCATGCAGGACAATCCGGGACTATACAATTAATTTGGCTATAACAGACTGTTGATTGCCATTGATCTAAGGATACAACTTTTATTTGTGTTTTGATAAGCAAAATGTCAAATTTGACTTTAAAGTAATATACAATGATGAAGAAATAAATAAAATATATATTAATAAAGATTTTCATGTGAGATTCCAGTGGTTGATTACGAATCCCCTCTTGGTGCTTTAGACTTTGGGGACGGAAGATGGTTATTGGGAATAATTTCTGTTGGCTTTGAGTCTTTTTACAGCAAGCATCAAATGCCTACTCTAGAGAGATAGTTTACCTGCTTCCATATAAAGACTGGACAGATTATGTCATGAATATCCAAAAGTAAGGCTAGATCTGAATACCACATATTGGTGTGGACTCTTAATCCAAAGTGGAAGTAGCCTAGCCAGAATGACCTACACTGTAAACAAACAAAGCATAAGGATTGGAAAGTAGCCTGGTAGAGCCAAATACAAAGGTGGGACAACTAGGGTTCTAAATGTAGCCAGCTGTTTAGGTTATCTTGACAGCTATGGTTACAGAAAAGCATTGCTACAATATGGTGTTAGAACTATTATTATTGATGATGTGTGAGTCTGTTAAATTCTAATAATACCTGTCTGTTGAGTGTCAGAACTAATGTTTTCCCAAGTAGTTTATCTAACTGGAACGGCTCCTTTTGTGGCAAGGATTTGTGAATGGAACGAGAGCAGCGTCCTTGATCTAACAACAAAGTGTAATATTTTGATAAGACATTGATGTCTACTCATCTGTAAATATGCATGATGTAATGATGTGATAATGTGGAAGACTGGAGTTGTTGGTAAGCAGCTGCCTCCTGTAACCCTAAGCAGCTTCTCAGATCTGAGTAAGATTACATCAAAGTATATATCAAAATCTGTTGTCATGTCTTCTTGTTATTTAGTACATATAGAATATGAAAAGTTATTTAACCCACCTAATTTTGGGTAATCCTTGTCAATTCTGCATATCCAAATGGAAAAGCAAAAACCTGAGTAACTGTAAGCCCAAATTACATGTGTGATACATAATTTGAATGCTAACACATTCTAGTTTCTGAAAATATAAATGAAAATAGTGTGACTAAAACATGGCCTAAACTGTATCAGTTCAAACATTACAGAAAGTTGTTGTTTTTTCTTCAAAAAAAAATTCTTATTTTAAAGTTTTTTTTAAACAGCAGTAATAGAGAACATGCTAGAGAAAAGGCCTGTCTCATTGTATCACATTTGTTCTACATCAAGTCTATCACAAATGTAGAAAATTTCGGATCTCTTTTTTTTCTTCTTTTTCTTTTTCGGACTTCTTTTTTTTTGTGCTTTGGGTTCTCAGGCTGGTAGAAAATATGACACAAAATATTGTGTTCTTAGCACTTAATATACCGAGGTACAATTTGGATTTCTGATAAAATATCCTGTCACACCTTGGGCATGAAAAACCCAAACATTAAGCATTAAGATTACTGTTTTAGATTCAACCCCTTAGTGGGACAATTTAATTCCTGTATAGCTCTTAAAGATAACCAAACAAATTCTTCCAGTTGCCTTTTTATTACCTCTTCCTTGTTTAAGTTTACCTGACTCTAAGTTATAATGTTTTGACTGTCAAGTAGAACATGGTACTTTATTTTACAAACTTAAAATACATTTTAAGGTAATCATTAGATAATTATATAAGGTTTTCTACTACTCAACAAATGTTAATATGTCTTGTTTAAAACAAAAAAAGTAGAACAATGTAGCAAATAGAAAGGTTGACTTTCACAGGGTTGGATGAATGACAACAGTTAATTGAGTTAGGACTGACTTTATTTTTTTAAACAAACAACAGGGAAGGAAACAAAAATACTAGATATGTAATATTTAGGAATTTAAGAATATTTAAGAAACAAATTTTTCT